ATTTAAGACTGAGATATCTGTCCTTCATATAAATTTTAATGGTCATGCACCAGGCACCCCCCCTAAAGAGGCCTATAAATAGGTGTGCCCTGTGCAAGCTGGTTTCTGGAGCTGGAGTACTGCTAGGATGACCTTCGTCACTGTTCATTTCTGTTTCAACACCTGTTGTGTGTTAAGTTCTTTAGTTTCCTCTAAGTCCATTCACTTTGACTAAGCCTTAAGGAGCACAGAAGTAAAAATAGATTGAATCACTAACTGTACTGAGAAGGAACAGAAATGTTTCTAATTGCAACAGCATGAGGGGGGTATGCCACACGAGCATGAGAACACCTGAAAAAGTTAATTTTGTTCATTTTGTCACAGAATCTTTGTGCAAAATTAGATCTTTTCGCTATATAAGGAAACTATTGTGTTTCCATGCTGTACATACTAGTTAAGACACAAAACTTAGAGCAAGCATATTGCTTATTTAACAAGTCAGTTGCTTTCATTTTAAAGACAAAGGGCCTTGGGATTATGAGGCCAGATAACAACTTTGTCACAAAACTTTTTTTCCAAACATCAGGTATTTTTACATGCTTTAGCAATTGTCAGACTGGGTTACACGTTTACACCTGGATGAGGATGGGATGAATGAGGGCCTGACACTTTTTTATTCTGCTGTAGGTGTCCTTAGGTACCTAGAGTGTTTTTAACCTTATTTGGTGTGACATCACAAAAAAATACTCTTAGAACTGAAATGCACCCAACCCCAGCAAAACCTAACTCGTTGTTCACCACTGCTTAGGTATTCCTGTCACAATAAGCTAGTGACATGGTTCGGTCCTAAATTAGCCATGTGTGTATGATGGGGTTCAGTTTGTGCTCCATTCAGAAGAAACATTGCCATTCTTGCTATTCTTTATATACTGTAACTTTACAATACTGGAATCAAAAAACAGGCAATGCCTGTTTGGAATCAAAAAACAGGCAATGCCTGTTTGAATTCAAACCACTCTGAGAATATATTTTTTTTTGTCAAGTTTAACATTTGAGGTTTCACCTGCATAACACTTTACATATTGCTTGCTTTTTATTTTTTAACCACGTTTACAGGAGGGAATCTATTCCTCTATTTTCTAACTGCATCTTCCAATTCAGGGTCATGGGGGAGTTAGATAAGATAAGATCACTTTATTTGCCATATACAATTTCTAGTATTAGGGATCTTTCTTTTCACATACCCCAACTTGCTCTCCATGACAGACAGGGAGAGAAGCTTGGGGTCAGAGCACAGGGTCAGCCATTTCTACGGTGCCCCTGGAGCAGTTGGGGTTAAGGGCCTTGCTCAGGGGCCCAACAGAGTAGGATTCCTCTGCCGGCTGTGGGATACAAACCGGCAGCCTTCCAGCCACAGGAACAGATCCTTAGCCATAGAGCCACTGCACCGCCCTTGGAGTTGGAGCTTATCCTGGCAAGGAAGAGGGAATCCTAGCATTTTAAATGTTCAAATTTAAATGTTTTTGAATTCAAATATCACATAAGATGGAGACCATCTTGATTTTATCATGATGTCTCTCGTAACTTTTCTGCTGTTCCTCAACTCTATTACAATATTATCTTAGATTTGTCTTTTTAACAGTAAATAATTTGTAATAATCGTAAGTTATACTGTATACTGCATGTAACTGCAATATATGTACTTCAGCTGTGGACTTGGGTATTATTTGTCATTTTTGAAGTTACTACCTATTCCAGTAAACACAACATCTGAAAAGAACATTTATGAGAAGATATTACTACTTTTTCATAGGCTTAGGTTGGTGTTCTCTATTACTGTACAGTATACTGCTCAGTTCCTGTGGAGATATATTTTGAGAATAATTTTCAGACACTGCTTTGGATGGAATACTGTATGTTATTTGGCTCACACTTCAGTCTAGGGGTTTCTAAATTTCACTTTCTAAATGGCATTTGCACCTCCTTAACTAAATTAATATAACTGTTACTGTAGCATAAAATAACCCAATCTAAGCAGATACAATCAAAGAGAGTTATAAAGAATACAAATCGAATGCACACAGTAAGTGACTAAATAAAATAACAAAATTAAAGCATATTAACTGCTTTTGGGTGTATTTCCTTCTACAGACCTCTACATTAATTGAGCCAACACTATACCAAGACTTCAATATAGCCATTGATGGAAGGGGGATCGTGTTAAGTTTAGGATCTAGTTTAGGAATTACACCTCTCTTTAAAATAGAATTTGTGTGGAATTGCATGATGCAAGGCATAAACATGTGGCAGTAGTCATGTTCCAAACATAATTCCGCTGATCAAGTGAGGTCTTTCTTCCAGAAATATGTCAGTCACTTCTGACTCACCAGCAGGAAATTAATACGAGTGGGAATAGGAGTTTTCAGCACTTACCTTCATTTCTAAAACAACATTACAGTTTAGCAAATGTTGATCCTCTCAGGTTGCTAAGCATAAATGAATACTTTTCAAGGGATTGGATGTTTTTATACTGTTACCCATAACCTATTAATAGAAAATTATTTGACTCATCTTGTAGTGCTTTAAGGACAGGAAAGCTCCAGTTTAAAGACTATTACAGTATATGATGTTATACAGCACACTATACAGCAGATAACCAGGAGGAATTAGCCATCAAATATTTAGGGCTAACATATTTTTGCTCAGCAGCCTCTAATTGATCCAACCCTATGAGGCAATGCAGCACGCCAACATCAAAGCAATGCAGAATTTCATTTTTCAAAGCCTTTGACTTCATTACAAATTTACCATCATTTCTGTCTCTATTTTTTAAATTTACTCAATACATTGTTTTGCTCTTAAAGACACCAATCTCAATATAAATAAACATAAAAAATATAAGGATATTCAATAGAGATTATTTCTACATTGAAAAGATGAAGGAAAGAACAAAAACGCTTTTCAGCTATAGAACCTTCATACAATGTGCTTTGTTTTATTTCCACTTTTCAGTGTGGAATTAATATCTTTTTGCCGATTTGCAGCCTATATGCAGACACCGGCCCCCACTCCAACCCAAAAGAGACTGACCTCATTATCTTTTTCATTGAAACCTGGCCTTTCATGTGGATCAAACACTGTATGAGGCTGGTTAACAGTGAGCCACCACTGTCTCAAACTGTGTGCCACCACCAAAGTCCAAACACAACAAAATGTAAAAATTAAACCCACTTACTGCCACGTCTGTTCCAGTGCTTGCTGCTTATTTGGTTTAATATCTTCCCATTAGAGTTTATGTTTTAAAGTACTTTGGTTATGCAGAGTTTGTTTGCTCATAATGGTTAATGGAAAGATAAGACAACTGTCACAGTGGCATATTGAGATTCCAGAGCTTTAGGCATCTGTTACTTTTTGCCTTGTCAGGATGATATAATTAGAGAAAAGGAAGCCTCCCTAGAAAGAAAGATCTAAATTCAATTTTACATTGAATTTCTAACGTAAACCAGGTAAGAGCTAAGTAGAGTACTGGCACATATTCCCTTGGCAACTGCAAAAACATTAACAGTGTCCAATAATGTTCTTACATTAGCAGGATTATTTTCATCATCATCTCTTTAGGGATAATTTACACATGCCTATAAACAGTCTTTAAATCTTTTACTATGCACCATGCACAGATTTTTAGAAACAATGAGCAAGCTGTCATTTAAATGCTAAATATTTTGTGTATTATGCTAGCATTATTTGAAATTACAATGCATGGCTGTTAAAGGTAAAATAGCAGTGCTTGCAGTTGGTTATAGACACTTCTAATGGAACTGTCCACTGTCAGAATGTCATTTAATCCTGGTAAGGATTGTGGGATCTTGGAGTCAATCCCAGAAGCACTATGGCTTCTGGGATGGCACAATGTGGAGAATCAAATTAACCTAGCTGCATGTTTTTACAAGGTGGGAGAAAATAAGAGCATCCAGAGGAAGTCCATGAGAACACAAATGAAACATGCCAACTCCATACAGAAAAGTGCTTCAATTTGGAATTGAACTCAGGACCCAAAACCTGTGAGACAGCAGCTCTCAGTGCCATGCAAGTGTTTGCCTGCTTCCGAAATGCTGCATAATAATTGTAATTAAGCAGAAGAAGCCTGGGTATTGAAACCTTATAACGCTATAGTGCATCAATTGTAGATCTGTATTAAAAAGCTATGACTCACCTGCTAAACACATATCACTAAACCGTAATGTAATGGTGGATTTCAAGTGAGCTCAAGGGAACATACTGTACATAAAAAGCTTCTATCAATACTATGTTTGTAATTCACAACTAGCAGGCAAGTCACATATGTATTCAATCTGTTTCTAAGTTATAATTAATGGTAGTAGTAGCATAGTCAGGAAACAGAGATATCAACACAATGATATATGCTTAGAATACCTTGAGAAACAGAGTAAACTGCTGGGATAATAGCAATTAGACTGTGGGCCTCAAACAAGCTCTGGCGGGCTGTAAGCTCTGTTTGCCCTTGTCAATATATTTTCCTTCATGACATGAAGCACGTTTTTTGTAATACAAAACTACAAAGAACAAAGTTCAGGGAATGAATAGAAAAGTAAACATTTTCCATTTCTTGTATTGAAGACTGTCTGAGGAATACAATGATGAAAAGATAGAAAAGCTCACCCCATTGAAAAGCTTTGCATCTCTGTTCTATTAACCTGACAACAAGACGCAAATCAAAAGGAAAGAAATTACTTCCCAGTAACTAAATTGTCTATTCCTTGTCATTTTTCATTGGTGTCTGTAAACAGTACAAATCAAGAGTAAAAAAAGAAACTGATTCTCCCACTATTTCTATCATAGTTATTGGAAAGTAATACAGCAATGTGAACCATAGTAAATAAATGAAAAAAGAAAAGAGAGTGTTGACCTCAGTAAAATAATCTAAAAATACACAAAAGTATTGAGGAAAGAATAGTGACATTTGCAATCATGCAAAAGCAAACTGAATAAAACCCAACAAAAATGGATAAAGGTGATTTTTAATAGTACAGTGAAGAAGCTTACAGAAAGTGCACCATGGAAGAAAACACATACAAGAAAATCAAGAGGAAAAAGACAACAGTTCTGTCCAAATTGCTGCTTTTTTCTTTGCTTTGGTTTAGAACCACTTGTATTTTTTGTGCTGTTTTTTTTTGTTTGTTGGATAGATAATGTTTCACTATGACTTTTATACCTCTGTTGCCTTTGTCACCTTGGTTGTTGAGATTGAGTGAAAACAATGCAAGGTGAAATCACAAAAAAAAAATAAAAGTACTGAAGAAGCTCATACAAGGAAGAATAAAAGATTTTCTTCTCTTGGTATCCTTACACTAAAATGTGAGGGCCATAGCTGGGAAGCCCTGGGTCACTAGGACAACCAGAGAAACACAACCCCCCTCCCACTCCTCCACCTAGACCCATTAAACAGATAAGCAAAATGAATGCACATTACAGGTTAAATTTAGGGGTGTCCTACTACACGTCAGGCTAGCAAAAGGTCCAAGTAACAGCACATTTCTCAAGTAGGGTGTAATGAATTGAAAGAAAATTGCACAAAATCATAATGCGATCTGGATGAGACCAATCCAAAGATATTCCACCTCCACTAGTTATGGCCCTAACAATTAATTATATAAGACATTTTTAATTTGTTTCACATTCTTATGCAGTAAGTAAATGTGTTTTAGCAAAATAAAATTGCTAACGTTATCTGTAATCTTACATTCTATATCTGCCACCCAAAGTCTACTATCTAATCTGTTTCTCTCAATTTTTTTCCTACTTACATAAACAAACACATCGGAACAAAACACAAACAAACAAACAAACAAACAAACAAAGAAACAAAAACCAAATGGACAAATTTTCCTTTGTTACACATGGAGAAAAAACCCCTCAAGCACTACAGCATTTTCCTTAATAACATTTTCTCTTCTATGCATCATTTACTTTCGCAGTGTCCCTCTCTCACCTACATCTTTCTTCAACATTCAAAAAACACATTCTCTCTGTTTAATTAACAGAGGGTATTTTAGCTTGTGAATCAATACTGATTCCCATTTTTATGTCAATTCAGCAACGATACATGTTGCATATATTTATAAGTTGAATTAATTGAATGCATACAAAAGTGCCCCTTCATGCACGCATGTAAGGGTATACTTATGAATCACTGTAAACATTAAATGTTTCAGTCTTCGATTGACCACTTATGAGAACAACTGAAAAGGTACTATCAACTGCTGTATTTCACAAACAAACTCTACTGAATCAGCTCTTTAATTTTAAGGCTTGGCTGCTGATACTACAAGGTTTTACAAAATTATCTTGTTAGTGCAATAGCCTACCATAAAAAGTATGGGTAAAAAGAAAAAAAAATGACTTTCTGAAGATAGAGCAAAAAAAGTCAAAAAGCAACATTCACTTTGCTTGAAAAACCAAACCCCATTTTGACTTACCACTTACAGGAAATTCAGGTGATTTGAAAAAATGTCTTAAGCTATATTTGGAACATATATATGTATAAGAATTTGACTTGGCAAGTTTCATAACCCCCTCCATAAAAGGGGTTGCTTGAGGTGGTGTTCTAAAGAAGTTTCTTTTTGCACAGAAACATTGGATCATAGAAAATACCGCACATCAATAAACACAGGCAGGTACAGTATCTTGATTAGCTGGTACCCCTTAGGGTATCATATTATGAAATTAGTTTTTTTTGTTAACACCATCTTTGTCATTTTGAATTGTAATATTGAATCGTGAATGACAAGACAGTTGCACAGAACTGAAGGTTCCAGATTATTCATATGAAAATATGAAATACTTTTCTCAGTAGTAAATGGCAATGGTCAGCTAGATAAAAATAAAAACAATAAATAAAAATAAAAGTCCACACTGCTAGGGACATAATGTATATGTCACCAATTGCCTTTCTGTTATCAATCCATATCGTGTTACTTCAAGCAAAGTGTAGGTTGCTTTTCAGCAAACAATATTTCTATTCCACCGTAGCTGGCTTCCACACCTTGGCTGCTACTCCGGATTTTTTGGCTGAGAACTTAGGTCGTGGCGCTATAAACAAAGAACTGCCAGTGGTGGGCCCTACGTAGGTATTAGCAGCTGGGCTGAAGGAACCATCATGTGTGACAGGTGAAGAAACAGGCAACCCATGGGAGGATTCTCTGGCCATATAGGGCTGATGATGGGAGACAGAATACGTAGCATTCACCTGTCCAGCTGGCTTCATCGGGGCTACCGCATCATATTCAGGGGGTTGCTTTGGTGGGGCAGAGAAGGCTTTAGGTGGAGGGCCTTTTGGGTCAGAGACTGGGCCGTAGGTGAAGAGGGCAGAGTTTAGCTGGTAAGGTTGATGCTTCATGACATCAAGAGCATGAAGGACTTTGGTGGTGGTTTTCCCTTTGGTCTTGGTCTTTCCTGTGGGCCCTGTCTGACTCTGAGGCTGACTTTTAATAGCCCCCGGGGGATAGGAGGGTGATTGGATGGGGTTGTACGCCAGAGGAGGAGGTGCTCGGATGTTTGATGAATATTTCCAAGAGCTAGGCAAAGAGGGAGTTGGTGATATGGATCTGGGTTTACTGGCCTGGACGGTGGAGGAGTCCACCACAAACTTCTCCATCCGAGACTGCCTCTTGGCAAAAAGCTCAGCACCTCTTCCTCTCAAAGCTGGCATCTCAAAAGCTGGCCCCATGCCCCCAGCTGAAGCCACATTACCAATCGGAGTGGAAGGTGGTGTTTTTGATGTATGTGTGTAGGCTGAGGCCACTGAGCGGGGTGCTGGCAGAGACACAAAAGCATTGGGCGCAGGTTGTGGCTGACTCCACATATTAACTGGCTGTTGAGATGGGGAATGAGTTTGAGCTGGGGTCCAGGTACTTACTGGCAACTGCTGTTGCTGAGGTGGACTCCATACGTTAGCAGGTTTTTGCTGGGCCGTGGCTTGATTCTGAGGCTGACTCCAGGTACTAGCAGGTTGCTGGTTTCGTGCCTGAGTTTGGGGAGGGGTCCATGTTCTTTCTGATGGCGGATGTTGTTGTGGAGGGGCTTGAGCAGGATTCAGAGCAGGAGTGGGGGCTTCATTTAGTGGTGGTTGGGAAGGAGGAGTCTGGTTTGCAGTTGCAGGTGCAGGAGACCAAGGAGGGGAGGCTGGATTGATGGTGGGTTTTGGAGCAACAGGAGGAGGAGTCTTCTGCTTGATAGCAGGGGACTGCAAGAAATTGCATGCCTCGGCACCTAGACTGAGATAGTCTTCTTCAGGGCCTGACTCAAATCCTGTCAGGGGATGGCGCTTGTCCCCTTTGTTGAGGAGATTGAGAAGTGCTGGGTTGGGTGAGACTTTTGGGGGCTCTTTAAATGTAAACATAGGTTTAGCTGTGTTTTTCTTCCTGGTCTCTTGAAGGATCCCAGTTTTGATAGCGGGAACAGATATCCTTTCATCTCGAGATGCTATTTGCTCTCCAAAACCTGTCGGTGACCAAACCTGGGGTTGAGCATTCACGGGAACTGGGGGAAGAACCACCCTGTATTTGTTGTCTGAGTAACTTGGTTGGTCTGATACTGGACTGGCTACACTTTTACTAGGCAAAAAGGGTGCTGCCATTCTATTCTGAACCCCTGTGAAGGGTCTGGCTGTTCTGTTGGTAACACTAGATTTCTGCATATCATTGGTTTGGTGATGTACCACTCCATTCACGCTCTGAGAAAGGCTATATTGCTGCTGATGATGTTGTTGCTGTTGTTTTTGAACATTAACATCAATGTATCCCTGGCTCACATGGGTCTGGTTCTCTGCTTTGGATTGTGTGTAGAAGTTTTCTTGGTGAGAGGTGTGCTGTGTAACCTGTGCACTCTCTGTTGTGGCTGGTTCATGAGGATCTTCCACTGGTATCCCCTTCCTCCTCATTTCTTCCTGTTCAGCCGTGATCTGATCCACCCTCTGCCTGCGCTTGGCAAACATCAGTGCCCCTTTGCCTTTGGTCTCAGGCAAACGCTCCATCTCTTCCTGGTTGTCGAGCTTCTTCTCAATCTCTAGTAATCCGGTGTCCCAGTCGAATGTCACTATACGAGTGCGGCCCCGAGCATCCGTAAAAAAGTCCTCGTCAATCTCCGACTCACTAGTGGCCAGAAGGGTAACCTCAATTGCGTCGTCCTCGTCACCTTCTTCTTCTTCTTCGTCTGCCTCCTCCTCTGGCTCCTGCTCTCCTGTCCCGTAGCTGACTAGTGTAAACTTCTTGGCCCTCTGCCGGTGCTTCTTGAACATCAACACCCCCTTGTTGTTGGGATTAGGTGCTGCAGTCAGCAGCAGAGCAATGCGCTTACATTTAGACTTGGCCTCTTTCACCTGCTTCTCAGACAGGCTCTCACTGCGCCTTAGCCCTGGTGGTTGAGAAGGAGAAAGAGAGGAACCAGTCAATATAAATCCAAAACAAAACAGCTTTTTTTTTTAATTCAACCATCATCCATTTTTAATGCCTTGATATTCAAATCATATTTTGAAATACAATTTGTTGGCTCCTTTCACATCGGCATATGTGAACAGTTTATTCCTTTCACTGCTTCCATTCAACCCCTACCAATAACCACTTTGTTAGGATCTTAGACAGGAATTTCCTGGAAAGCCCCAGTTGGTAGGTTTTGTAGCTCATTGTTAAATCACCAAATTTTAAATACAGACTGTAGAACAATCCTATTAACAAAACAGGTAATTTGTTAAGTAAATGTCTAATTAATTTAGACATTATTACGGCTAAACTCTTAGTTCTTTCCAGGCATTAAGAACCAGAGTCCATTTCCTTGAACAGATTACTTATTTGATTTATCAATAGTTTACAGGTTATGTCAATCTTTAAAAACAAATTATATCCAGTACTAATCACGGAGAGTCTAGTTTTTTTTTTAGACTTTGGTTAATAAATAAGATAAAAAATCAGGTCCTGTAACCAATTAGGGATACAAAAAATGCAGTCGGAGCAATGTCAACATAAATTATGACAGAGAGAGAAAAATATTCAAGATGCTTTAAGATGTATTTGAATATACACACTGAATTATGGGTATGAATATTGATTGATTTTTTCCTCCAATCACAATCCTAAAACAGATGGCACTGTCACATTCTGCCTTTTGCACATTTATGCACACCCTTGCTAACTTTGACTCATGTGCTCAAATAAGCGGAATGAGAATTCATTAAACAGTTCTGTCTGCTGTACTGCTGTGATTGGATAATGAGCTAATTAATATACATACTCATAATTCTTTGTTGCTCTTCCCTAACCTTGAAGGGTGTTCATTTTTAGAATATATATAAATGGATAACAAGCATTCTTAAATTGCAAAGTTTTCAGTTACAGTACATTTAGACACGTAATACATATTATTATCAGATATGGAGTCTAATGTTGCTGAGTGAATGTCCATTAATTAGACTCAATTATGGACTATAAGTTCTTTCTGATTGACGTTTTTGGCACAGAAGTATTAATCACTGTTATTAAGTGACATACACAGAAACATATATTAATATTGCCAAAGATGATACAGATTTTGGAAAATAATATACAATACATAATACAAGTCGGTTTACTGGACTTCTCTTTAACGGTCTTCGGATTCAACAGATAAACTGCTCAACGATTTATTACCACAATGTATATTTATGTTAAAAAGGGCACAGGAACAACACCCTTTCCCCCATTAGTCTATCAAACTCAGTGTTTCCTGTAATAAAAATAATACACTGTAGCTTTATACAGGTAAATATTCACATAACTGGACCTGTATAATGTATAATTGTTTGTTATGTTATTTGTCATAAACTTTATTTACCTTCTTATAACAATATTTTTTTCAAATTATTTTTGGTTTAAACATAAAAATACATTTTGTACATGGACATTTTTACACTTAAAAGTTTAATATGGAGTAAAAGAAACAGAAACAGAGCTAGAGTATATTTTTAGAAATGCTATTTTAGATTTTTCAATTGCATGCTGAGATTCAAGCAAGCTACAATACTGTAACCATATAGCAGTGTAATGTGCCCATGCTTTTGCGCGAGTACTAATTTTACTGTATGACGAAATAAAGATGGCTGAAAAACCCCCATTGGTGTGGGCCAGCTTTTGCAAAGTTACATCTCATCTCCTATTAATTACACCCATATACTGAAATTAGTTTCATCTTCTATATGCAATGTAGAGGGCACCTCACCATTAACAGCCTTCTAAATCTTTTACTAAAGCTGTAAAATCTGATGCTTTCTCTTTGTAAAAAGTAAGACAGGGATATTTAAAGCTAAACCAATTTAAAATGACTTCCTATTGCATAAGCTTTAATCACTGAATCATTGGATTATAGGTCCCCTAAATTAATGACACTACTAATTTGTTGCTTTATAAATATTTATATTTACTGATTTTAATAACGTATGTTTTTTTAACTAAAACCACTCAAAGTACAGTGATATGTCGGTTGGTAGCCATGTGAAAGCTTTAATTATTGTTTATCTAGTATATCCTCATCATTTAATTTCTAATAAGTGACTTATTTAATAGTAACTTTGCCTATACAGTTTATGTTGACAATTGCATAATTATACCCATGAGGTACACATAAATTAGCGCAAATGGTGTAGGCATAAGATTTTAAAAATAGCCTTGGAATTCAGAATGTGTTAGTTCAGGAGATCCTGGGATCCTGAATAAGTCCTGCAGCTGCACAATTTATTTAGACTCCCTGCAGTAACAAATACTTTGCCACAGCATCTTGGTTATTAAACTGAAAGTACAATTAACAAAAACCTGTAACTTGTTTATAAATAACAATAATACAGCCTTCTGACAGTTTTCAAACTAACATCAGAATCTAGAAGGCAGCAGTACTGGGCAGTTCACTTTTCACCCCAGTTAAGACTTGCAGTTTTAAAGGATCAGATAACTGGCCAGGACTGCATATGCTGGTGTCTGTCAAACTCACTTCTGCAGGCATCATCAGCCTTTGGAGCAGCTCTGATTTTATTCTTATCTACTACAACTCCAAGTAGCACAGAAGTCGCCCTGCACACCCACTTCAAATAAATCCAACAGACAAGGAAACCCAGTTGAAAAAATAAACCAGTGTTACACACTCTTTAAACCTGTATCTTTTCATTGATGGTACATGCCAGCAATATTTCAGAGTTGCAAAACGTGCCGATATGTTAATCCAGACATTCAAATAGTACTGTTACCAAACTGATTTACAAATCATATTTCTTCTCATATGCTTTCTTTCTCAATTGCTCCACTCTGCTCCCCCAAATAAAATCAGCATTCCACTTTGTTTGGGAAGCTGCCACCCACTGCACAGAAGCATGCATTCTCAAGAAAAAGAAAACAAAACTCAAGCACATATCATCCATGCTAAATTAATTGGCATTAGCATGCCCACCCCCAAACACAATAACAGGCGGAAACAGAAATCCGTGCTGCTGTTCTGGATACCAGGTGAAGTGAAATGAATGGGATCCAAAATGTACTTACTAGAGTGCCTCGGCCGGTGCTTGTTGGGTCTGCTGTGATCCCACTCTGATTCTGAGTCCCACTCCTCTGCCTGCTCTGCACCCTCTGATGAAATTCCAAAGGAGACAGAAGCAGGAGGTGCTTCAATGTGCCCTCCTTCCTCTTGAGAATCAACACACCCACTTAGGCTGGACTCAGTCCTGCAGACCACTATCTCCCCCCACCGCTTTCCTTCCCTGGGGTGCTCGAGGGTGACCTCCACCTGGCCGAGGGAGGATGAAGAGCTCACCGGTTCTCTCCCTTGCCCTTGGTCTGTGATATCCCCCCTGTTCCGAGGGAGGCAAAAGGACTGGACCGCTGTGGTGTGAAGCAACTCAGTCTTGGAACCGCCCAAACTGATGTCTAAGCTGCGGTCCTTCTGCAGGCCCCCTAAAGTGCTGTGTTTCTCCCCCCAAGGGTTGCTGCCTGGTGTTACGGAGGGGTCTCCTTGGTTGTGATCTGAAAAGGATAACTGCAGCTCCACCACTGTTCCAGGTGTTACCGCCCCCTGCTTTGCTCCCCTGCAAGATGTCTCCAGGCTGCTACGTTCTCTGAGGTGGTCTTTCTCCCTGTTTGGAGATTTGGCCCGGGCCTGCCTGGTTGCACAGGAGAGGTCCGTGTCACTCTCCGTTTCACCGTAGTAGGCTTCATCCTGGGACTCAGAGATGTAAAGCTCTCTTGGAGGTGGAGCCCCACGGGACGGCCAGATCTGGAGAGTGGTGCTTGCCAGGCCCTCGTTGGGTATGCTTTCATCAAAATACATCTTCTCCGAACTGGGATCCGAGAGCTCGTGTACACCGCACCTGCATCAGAAAAGGCCAAATCTTATGTCACCATTTTGCTGTGTGGGAATTGAGTTGCCTGTGCAGTTTTCAGGTTTCTGTGGGATCAGCTGGGATTTGGGGATATCCATAATAGCTTTTCCTAATTTTAATTTATAGAAACAGTGAAAATACAGGGAGGCAGTGAACAATAAGACAGGGTCTAATTACAGGGACACACCAGGCAGTATGTAAACGTGTGTACTTTCCAAACCTTAATCAAAGAAGATCTGTGACAGATATCCTATTTCAAAACCACTCAATGAAGTGTAACAGAATTTGATCCTAATGGTTTTTCTTTACCACAGTACACATCTCTGTAAAAGGAGTGAAAATAAAACACGGTAAAGAAACTTAAATTATTTCAACATTAATAGTATATACAGTATAGTATATGACAAAAATCATTACTTAATTTTAACAGATGATTCTCGGATATCTAAAGTAGAATGAACAAAAAAATTGGCAGAGGCACGGGATATATTTCAGAAACTACACAAAGTCCATAAAACAACCAGATGTTGCCTTTAAAAATGTAAACCTGTCATTTGAGCAGATGTGAATAGACAACAGAAATGGCAATGTTTATATTCACAGGCCTTATTTGTTTGGAGAAGACCTCACCTCCCTTCAGTTCTTCTGGAGAGAAAAAGTGAATCAACACAGACCCCTCCGTGAAAGCATTTTCTTCACTCTCCAGCTTTCTGAATTTCCAGATTTCCTTCTTTGCACTTTGTAGTATAGATTGTGCTCTACTGACTAGTAGCACTTGCAATGTTGTGTTTGAAAACTACTCCAATTGTATACACATAATATACAGTACAAACGTACTAGTATATGCTGTATGCTAATCATTTCTGGTTATGCCTTACAAGCTCACTCCTGCTTTTTTTCAGAAAAAAGATTCATTAATTGAATTAGAAAAACAATTCTCCAAGTTTTCTGTTTTCCTTTCTTAGAAGACAGATTTTGTTTTTGTTTTTCTTTTTCCTTAAAAGCTAGGGTTGTAAAAAGCCAGGATTCTCATGTCTAAGTGACAGACTGAGTGACAAAAGTTTGGTAATGCACCATCATGAAGTTAATGACTCCATCTAACAGCTTGCTTTGGGCTCCTATATTTCCAACATAAGCTCAAAATTGGTTTCGCCTAAGCTTCCTTCTCAATGAAATAAATGCATTTAATACAATGATCATGGATTTCTTTAATACTTTCCCATATAGGAAACTAAATAAGGTGTAGTAACATAAACCCTTCTTCTTCCTATGCACACCAAACATGGCACCCTCCCCACTACCTTCCAAAATGCATTTCTATTTTGAACAATTAAAAACAATTAAACCACAAACGAAAGACCTAAAGAGACACAGAGTAGCAGTGGTTAACAATGCTGCCTTGCAGCGCTGGGGCCCAGGGTTTATTCCAGATCTGGGGTGCTATTTGTGTGTTCTCCCTGTGTTTGTGTGGGTTTGCTCCAGGTACTCTGGTTCCCTCCCACAGTCCAAAGGCATACTTGTAGGTTAATTGGCTTCTGGGAAAATTAGCCCAGTGTGAGTGAGTGTGTGTGTGTCTGCCTGTGTCCTGAGATGGACTGGCATTTGGTCCAGGGTGTACCCCACCTTGCGCCAATTGCTTGTCAGGACAGGCTCCAGCTTCCCCACGCCCCTGCTTTGAAAATTGGATAGATGGATGAAAGACCTGCAGGAGATCCATCCAATTTACAACTCGTGTTTGATTTGCAGCATTGCAGTTGCATTTTGAAATGTGCTCAAATCTCCGACAGCTGTTTTGCTGCAAAAGGGGGCAGGCAAAGGTCAGATAAACTGCAAATTAGCAGTCTGTCTGCCCATTAGTAATATTCCACTCCAGCTACTGAGCACAACACTAAGTCATAAACCTTGCCATCTAAATGCAAATGGAACACATGTTTATAGGCCATTAATTGCTAGTTGAATAACAGAGGATGTAGAGCATTCAACCCAAATCTTTTATAAGTCCTCAGTGTCTTGTCACTTCTTGAGATTTGCACAAAATAGATTGATTTATTCACAAAACATATTTTGCTTATTTGAATATATACTGTATATATCTGGTTGTGATAAAGAAGTGTCTTGAAGCAAACTGTACATTCGGTAGTAACTAATTATGTCAACAATTCCAAAAGATAAACTTAACCAATTTGATTTGAGAATGAATAAAATGTATATTTGTAGTATGCGGGAGGTATATGATTATGTTAAAGAAGTAAAAGAATACAAAAACATGAAAAGGAAAAATACACCGGAAACACCTTTTCTTTTTAGATATTTATAAGATCGAAACATAAATTAATAAGATACATTTATCTTATATATATATTTTAAGTGCAACACCAGCTTTGGTGAAATATGGCAGATGTTACATGTCAGTAGCCACGTTACATAGTGCATCAGGACAGCAAGTGAGAATTTGAAGAGTGGAGAATTCTGCCAGGACACCAAGGTTAACACCCCTACTCTTACAACCTGTGCCAAGGAAATTGCAATGACCAAGTAAGGCAGGACATCGCCTCCTATAGTACAGTGTTCACTAGTCACCATACTATGGCGTCCGGAGTTTTGGAAATTCCGGATTTGGAGGAGGAGTGCCAGCTAGTTTCCCTTGGTCATCTCCCACTGTGAATAGATTATCCCTGCTTACCTTCTGATCCTTCTGACCCTTACCTTCTGACAAGATCAGGTTAAAATGTGATAACAATACTGTCAGTGTTAAAACCAAACTATGTGGAAAACAGTGCTGTGTACTGTAGAGTATATGTGAATGGAAAGCAGATGTCCTTAACACACTTCCCGGTGAGGTGCCTCAACTTGCCCTTCACTCTTGTTTTACCAATTTGATTATTATATGTTTTGTTAATGATGGGGGTCATTGCAGGTATCCCCCCCATGTTGAATAAAAATAAAAACAAAATTCAAGCAGTCCCACACATATGATAACAGACACAGAGGGGAGATGTTATATAGAGAGGGAGCTTATGAGCTTATGCAGCACAATCAGTGCACAACCACTACTAATCAATCTAGTAGAAATCATCAAGAAGAGGCACTGGAACAGCCAGAATCTCTACTATCTGTGGCTCTATCGGGAAGCCACAGGAATTGAACCCAGGGCCCCAGTGCTGCAAAAAAACAGTAATGCTAGCCACTGTGCCACCTGCTTAGGTATCTCTTTGAAGTATATTACAGTACAGTATGTAAACGTAAGCGATGTACTTTCTTCATCCAAAGGACACACCATGATTCTCTACTCAAGCCAACTGAGCAGATTACCTTCTTTAATATGGATCTGACCGTGGAAAGATATTAAAGCACATTCTTTACCTTTTGACAAGCACTTGTAGGGTGTCAGCAGAGCCATCTATAAGTGCCATGGCTTCAGAGAGAGCCCAATCTGCACAGGGCTCTCCATTTAAAGACACCACTTCATCTCCTTTACAGAGTCCAGCGCTGGCAGCTTTGCTCCCTTCATCAACCTGGAAGAACATGGCAATGTCAAGGCAAAAATGTATGCTGCAGAATCAGTCCAGCATTTGTTCAAAATCCAATCCTTGAAAGAACATGCTTCAGTTTGGATTATTAATAGCACTCCCGCTAAGAATCGAGCACCTAGCTTTAATTATTGCATCTGGCCCATACAACCTTTATATGGAATGGTATGCACACACTGTTTGGATTTTCATTATAAACAGAGTTAATGTCCAAGGAGACAAGCAAAACAGTAGATCAGATGTTTTCCATTTAACAATTTAAATGTCAGGGCTTTCTTTTTCAATTCACATTTGCTTTGCCAAATAAGTTTTTGTTTTCAGCTTTCTATATAAGTAGTGTGAATTCTGCATTACTGTATACTAATTATGTAACATTTAATGAAGCATACCAGTTCTATTATAAGGTATATCTACTAAAAATATTTACATAGTATGCTAGATGATGAATGGATTCTTTGCACATTTTTCTTTTTTTAGAGGACTTACAAAGCTCACTAATAACATTGCTTGTCGGCTTGTCTTGGAACAGAACGTGCCACCTCTGTAATTATTTATTACTACAGAGATAGGTGAGGCTGAAAAAAAAACGTTCACCTTTCATACATTTAGATTGTGTAATTAGAAGGCAAAGTACAATGTTGAGTTGCACTATCTTGGATTTCATATAAAGAAGTATCAAACATCACATAAAGCATACAATGCTTTAATCAGACTGAAAAGGGGTATGTCCAACCGTTATTACAAATACAGTACATTTATAGTAATGGTTATCATCTCTGATAGTTTTTTTTCAGCTGAATCGTTAATCCATGCCTTTAACTAATCTAATTACTTGTTTAGACTAATATTTAGTTGTTTCTATAATCCTTCCTTGGTTTCAAAAACACTCTACGTACCCTGTTCCAGCAGTGTCAGCATACAAAATGTCATGCAATCTCTCTTCTCTTTGTTAATTAAGAGCTCATGATCTTATTTCTATCTAAACAGTTCTTTCCATATAAGGTGAACAGACAGTGAACATTGAGATAATGTATTAAACATTTGCACTTTTTTTTTGTTTCCTTCTGTAGAGGTCCAATTCGTTATCTTTTGGCTAACACACCTGAATGAGTGTAGTTGTAAAACCGGTAATAATCAAAGCTTGTGATTAATAATTTGGCTGGAACAAAATTTGGGCTTTGGGTTGAAAACCACTGATGTATAGGACTTAAAGATTTAAATAAACTAACTCAAAGATTTAAGTAAATTATTTTATTCACTTTTTATCAGTATGTATTCAGATGGAGATTAAAGACACCTGCTTCAAATATGTTGAGAACTGAAAGAAGGCAGTTTATCAAACTATGATATGAGTTTCATATTTCAGCTCAAGCTCTGAGGAAGAATTTGAGGGGTTTGCCAACATGCACCAGCAGATCCAACCTTATCTGGCTGCAAGCTCCAAGGAGGCTGACAGTAGAGCTTTGAGCTGAGAAACTTCTGTTAAAATAATGACAGTCCACCCAGTTAGTGTTGTGCCAATTAGACATCACTGTTACTGATTTTCTAGTCATCATTGGCTGGTAACATGATACAGCCTCAAACCCCTGATGTCTTGGCCACAGTGCTCAATCTTAACTCAAGGTAAGAGTCTTTTATGGTTGAACCACTCAGATAATCCCCTGCAAAAAAAAATACATTTTAAAGAAAAAAACTTTTTAGCTTTTTGAGTCAATCCATTACATTTTGAAATACACACTGGAGGAGACAGAAAATTGGTTTACCAGACACCCTTAACCATTATCCTTAATCCTTAATCCTGAAAATAAAAAAAACACAGTTCTCCAACTAAATCATATTTTTATGTTCTATGCACATTTTTTAAATCTCATACTCATTGCAGATCTGTGCCAAAATAGCACCACAATCTATTGGAAAAACAAAAATGGAGCTCTTGAAAAGGAGAAAATATGACTTTCAGTGAATAAAAGCAAGAAGGACTTGTCATCTTTTTATGATAGTCCTTCATGAAGTAAATATTCTGAGTTACTATTTAAAATCCATGAAGTATGCACCAAGCAGTTCAGAAATACTGTACACCAAGCAAATATCAAAAATCAATTTCAGAGGAATTCAGATATCAACAACAGAGGCATACAGATATCAGGAATAAATACCAAGTAGAACTTCCACAAACAACACTATTTTCAGTGCCACAGTTCCTCAGTGAAACTTCAGATACTAGAAACTTCAGAGTTTAAGGGCTGAGAACTTCACGGTTTTTTAATAATGCTGTCATTTTAATGCTGATGCAGATGCAGATATGAGACTTCTTACTATATTGTATGGGCAAATCAAATATGTTTTGTTGGAAGATTGATTGACAGAGTTTCACATCATCCTTATACTGTACTTAGTCCTGCCTATGTACTATGGGAGTTAACTGCCACAGAGATGGAAGTACAGTATATTTATGGATGCTGTCCCAGCTTACATTTCCCTTCACAATGGGAAGATGTACAAGACACAGGGCAAAAATATCAAGCCACAACATGGGTAGCTACAGGACATTAACATGCACATGTACTGTAGTCTATCCTTGATCAACTACTGCAAATGACAGCTTCTAAGGTCTACACAATTCAGATTGTGTGCCAAAAATTTAGGGTAGATAGTACTTCTGATGTGCATTGCCCACTAATACTAAACCAATAGCTGCATTACAAAATAGTACTGAAACTCATATAGTCCTTTGAATAAAGGTTCACCCCCTTCCAATGATGTCCTATTTTCTTGAATTACAAATGATGTATGCTCATACTTTATGGTTAAAACTACAAAGAAAATGTTTACACACTTAAACACCATTAGTTTATATTTATTTAATCAGGAAACCGAGACAGCATTACTTCTCTATAGCTATTTAATATATCTCTTGACAGTGGCAATTTCATTCCATTAGCATTCTACAGTCTGTGACACTGTTCACGTACCCTGGGACTTTTAATGGAAACTGAAGAAATTACTAGATAGATGGGCTTCTTAGGATAATTGCCACTCTGTACAATACTACTTTAATTGCATAATGTGGGTGGGCAGGGGAAAGTGGAACTGTGGAAGTATTACTGTTTTTCCAACAAAGTGTTGAACACCTGTTCCTCTCAGCACTGTTTCTACTTGTGTGGCCAGTAGTGTGAATTAAGAGAATGCAGGCCACAAACCCTTAGCATGTGTGACCATTTGTATACTTGTACTGAATGTGTGAAGACAAGGAAGCAAATGGCAGCGTTCTTTTTGCAACAGTGTCACAGAAGGAATCCCAGACCCATGTTTTGTGATTCTTTTGCTTTGATTTTCGTAGCATTATAAAAACTTACATTTCCCAAAAGTACATTTCCCAAATAATCAAAGACTCCTACTATATATTTCCTTCTTTACGATTACCACAATTTCTACTTCTCTGCTTCTTCTGTCCTATGTTGGGACTGCTGGGCATCACCCACACAAGTGTTGAATTTCAGGGGTGGATGAAATAGGTCCCCCCTACAATTTGTATAAAATATTTCTGGATCCTTTTGAGATGAAAATGCGAGAGATTATTAAAGAATTACCCTTTTCTCATACTTATTACATAGATAATTGTAACATACAGGATTCATATAAAAATTAAAAAGCTATTTCACAGATGTACTGTACATCAGGAGAAGCTAACTGTTTAGCATTTCTGTTGCAAACTCTGGATGTCTGTTGTTTGTTTATTCACTTACTCTATTTAAATTGTGTGACACGTTTTCTTCTTTGAGATGGTTTACAGAAGCAATTGGTTGCCTTCCTCCTTTGAGTATAGAAACAGCAACAGCAAAGTGTATTTCCAAGAAACTCAGATAATAATTAAGCCCATAAGATACTACACAGCATGAATGCTCACTAGAGGTTGGTACAGCCACTGTGTTCTCTCAGTACTCAGAACAACCCTATCATGAACAGCACATTATACTGATTAATACAAATGTGCAAATGATCCCCATGATATTTTTTACCCTATGGATTATATCAAGGATTCTATTTCAGTAATAAAAACATCTGCAACAAATATTTTTTAATCAACAACAAAACAAAATGAAGATAGTGTCATATATTTTTGCCAACAACAAATGTAAAAGAAATGCGCTGTTCAGAACAGTTTGTTGTACCAAGATTATATTGTCACAAATTGGATGATCTCTTAGATATTTGCCCAGTCTTGAATTTTATGTACTCTAAATCTTGGGTATTTTGGTATTTGTCAGTTCTATAGTGTTTTCCAGCCCTCCTTTTTTAATATTGTCTATAAAAGAATACAATAAGAATAATAATTGATATAAAAGAGGAAAAGCAGTGTCCTAGTATAGATCCCTGTGGTACCCCCTAAATCACTCCCATTTGAGCATCTGAGCATTAACCCCATCTATACTCTATGTTTTGTATTAACCACTTCTCAGTCCAAGACATATGTATTTCCTCAAATACCTAAAACCTGTAGTTTAAGAATTAATATTTATTATGTTTATCAAAAGTTTGCAGAAAGTGAAATAAACCATGGTATATGCTCTCTGTGCATCTATTACTTTTGTTAATTGTCCGAGAACTCAAAAAAGCTAGCTAATTAAGATCTACCATGTTTAAGCACCAGTTCACAATACCTGAGGATCCTACAAAATCTAACAGGACACAGGAAAAAGCCATGCTGCTGTCATTGCTGTTACCCTAGCCTGTCATTTCCTTCCTCCTGACAATGCGTAATATAGAATAATACTTCCTTGCTGCCCAGGAGGACTACTAAAGTGAAATCTAAAATAAAACAGTATTTTAGGAAGCACATGCAGTAGTTATCCTGGGAGATTCTAACACTCAAATGACAGTTGATAAGAAAGTGATGCCAATCAAAACATACAGTAACATTTACAAATTTACAGTATACTGTATACAGTACACTCAATTGCTCATACAGTTTCAGCATTTCTGGA